AGAGTAGCCCCCGTAATACTTGGTTACAAAACAAGGAAGAAACTTTCGATTAACTACTCAGCGAAGACTATGCGGAGACACTGGACCTAACAAAAGACTCCAACTATCCTGAGATATGATGCTTTTAACACAAGTTCAAACAACCCTAGTCATGTTTGCACTCCTTCCACACGTGACGCGATAATTTTGGGGTTCTTTACACAACTGGTAATAAATATAATGAACGGCTATCTAGGAGAAAATGTACCAAAACTCCGAATGTTCTGAATGGGGAATCAGCGCAATAAATCAAAAATATTAGTGATTTCATACGTGCCTGATGAAACTCAAACTTGGCCAGATTGCAAGTAAGCTACCTGAGCATGTATATCATTCGTGTAAGAAAGTTTAGGAAATTTTCCAGATGTTGAGGATGGTTCTGGCCCGGTCCTGTAGTCAGTTTTGTTACCCTGTCATACGGGCTTCTCCGTTCACAAACCGTCAACAACGATTATTCTGAGTTGTGGAGCATGCGACTTGAACCAGCTACGATTTTACCTCAAAACACTGAGGGGATATATTTTACGTTCGCTTTTATTGCATCCGATTAATACACGCCTAAATTTCTTAACCATAAAACGCCAGATGACCGCCAATCTGGAATCTGTTTTGGTGTACCTCAAGCACACCGGGGCAACACTGCACTCAATGTGTCAGCTTCTGTGACTACCCCTTGTTCATTTACACATTTGCCGGCCAGTTGAACAACAAACAGTTGCAAGTTTTGTGTTGCAATATCTATCCCATGATAGCGGTTGATTACATGTGTATGAACAATCAGCCTCGAAGGATGATAGGTTTCCTGTGTTCACACGACTGCAATCTGATTTCGCCCCAACTCCTGGACATTCTGTCCTCTGCAAATCTACAGGTAAGTCTTGTAGACAGCAAAGATGTCCTCAGGCACAACACCCCTCTTAGGAATCCACAAAGGTAAGTCAATGAACAGAAACAGCAATATGGCCACCTGGAACTGTAATCATTGACCACTGTCACGAAATCAATGTCTTATGCAAGGTAGTTTAAAAGATAAATATGCGTAGTCAAAGGGAAGGGAATCCATGTATCAGCCGTATCCATGTATCCATGTATCAGCCGAAGGAATGAACTACAATTATCGGCCGAGTGAACCGCACAAAATTCCTCTGCTATATTTACAGCCAGGGCGGCTCTTGTGTGCGCGCAAAACCAAGCAGAATGTAAGTCCAATCTATCGAACCAGTCACTATATACCCGCAGAAAACTTGTGTAAAATCTCCGCTTTCCCAACGCCTGTTGCGTAACTGTGATTCCAAACCACGGAAACTGACACTGGTCGTCTCCCAAAATTAACTTTTGTTCATATACTGTCCTATCCAAATATGTGATGCCGTATAGTGCATGATACTCGGTTGTATTTTCGATTGGACATGCGACAAAACCAACAAACCCATATTCTTCATATGCGCAGAATACATTATAAGGAAACATGCAAAAACAACAGATGGAAGGCATCTTCGCCACCGAGGTGACTGCTGCTGGCTCAGATTGTCAAACCCGACCTCTGTATCTCGACTTCCCTTGTCTAGGCTTGGGCAAGATGCCAGTATCCCAGCCCTCGTGCTTTCTTCTGGTGACGTGTCAGTTAGGCACCGAACAGGTGCTACAGCTGAACGAATCAAAATGATGTTATCAACGCGAAGTGAATTGCCGTTGAGCCGTAGCTCAGCGGATTAATGCAGTGCTCTTGTTTATACACGTCTTTGTGACGGGTGTTCACCCTCGACCAAGACTGCTCAGTTGGGTCGGTTATCATATTGATTGGCTCGCAGGGCCGTCCTTTATTCGACCGGTGGTCACACTATTTTGGGGCTTAACCTATCAATGAACCTATCGGTGAACTCTCCCAAAGGTGTCATTTGTTCCATGTTCCCAGTCTAACCCATCTGTCTGACAGCCGGTTCCTTTTAAGTTTACCGATTATGTGGTGCAGAGATTATGTCGAGTCCGTAAGACCGTTTGTTGCATGTATGCCTCATTCCAAGACCTTCGGATCCTATAAATTTTATACATGTGCCCTTCTTGATCTTCCTGTATGAAAACCAGAGGTGGTGGATACCAACCCAGCTCAGGTAATAAAACAATAACCACGGTAAACATGGAGACTGGCCACACCTCTTTATCCATCTGTGTCACGGCAAATGCGTGCTTGGAGCAGCATTACATGTTTCGCTGGTAGCAAGGCAGAATGACCAACCCTTGTCATACTTTGATAACCATCCCTTGAGTCTCTTTGGCTTCAAGGGAGATGAGAAACTGCTTACGCTCAGACCCGTGGATCATAATAGTGACCTTCTGTGTCGTGAAAGACAACTGTCCGTGAAATGCACTATTTTCGAGAAGAATGAACACTGACATGCATTTGGCTTTGCTTATCATGGCAGGCCATATTGACAGCTACCAGAGCCGTGTGAATGAAAATCTCTCCAGACTCTTGGCTTTCCGACGTATCGTCACCAAGGCTTTGAATTCTCTAGGCGTTCCCTGAGTACGATGTTGCAACTGCAGTAGAATGAAACAGGACGGGATGTCTCGCTAAAAATACGGCTGTAATGGTTCGAATAAGCGCAGGTTTCCAAACTGGCCCTGCATGACATGAAAATACATACAGGCCTATTGTCAGATTGAGCATTGAAGCAGTTCAGCGCTTCATGATGTCGCGAGGTGTCCATTCACTCTTAGAAAACAAGACTCGAGCTGTTATCAAGGTGCCTAGGTTAAATTTGGAGTGCTCAATTTAACAGCTTGTTAGATGACACTCATACATCTTAACAGTCTTTGATCCTTTGACTTTCTGTAGAACTTGCTTAAACTTGTCAGTTTTGTCTGCCGCCTGACCACCGGAGAGTAAAAACCAAAGTGACACGCACACTTTTGTTCAGTCTGTTTTCCAATTGCTTGCCGTTTGCGCACCTGTTAGAGAACATTAAAGAAGTAAAGTTGGGAAGCAAGATTTTCTTCTCGCCTTCGGTTAAACCGCAAAATTCCGATGTTTTTCGTCTTTATCGCATGACATGCTGTTTTTCTGCTCTGTTCACCAGACAGCGAATCAACGTTCACACTCGGTTCTGTCGCATGAAAATATGAACAGCGTCTGCCAAGTCTTTTTAGCGATATACAGCTCTTCAAATCATTCCATCTGTCCACCAAACTGATTCCACCTCCGTAAATGGCAATGTTTCGCCTTTCTTCCTCCAGAATGGAGACAGCCCTCGTGTGATGGGTTCAACCCTGACAACGGTCGCTGAGTATCTGTGTCTTCGCTAACAACGCCACCGACCTATCACCTACATAATCCCCATTTTCTCTTGTGGGTGCCGACGTGGTTCGCTTCATCTACGACGTGCACATGTCCTCCAGAACTGGGCTGAGCAGCCAAGAAAAATTAATGAGTTGTCCTAGTGGTATTTTTAACAGCTCAGGAAAGAGTCTCGTCGACGGTTGCTGTGAGAAAGGAGGTATTAATTACTTAGGTTTCACCCTCGTCATTACAGCACATTCCTAGTTTGAAACGACTGAACTAAGATGCTGTGCTCTGAACTAGTTTTTCGGTGAGACTTTAAGTTGCATAGCATCAGAGCGGGAAATAAAGATCAGGAAGTACTGTTTCATTCCAGAGTGACTCAATGCTTTACTTGGTCCAAAATTATGCACCGAAGATCGGATTACCCTCCATGTCCAATTGCCAAATTTCATCGGGCTGGATCCTTGTGCGAATTTTCCTCGTCAGTCAAACGATAAATTTTATGTTGCTGATTGACTAAGCGCACCAACCATATCCGTTTACAAATGTTAATTTCCGCGAATCAGGAACGTAACTCTGTCTTCGCCTGAACAACCTCGTCTGAATTCAAAACTCCTATTTAATATGGTAAAGCCCTAGAAGATATCGATCGCAGCCCGCAAGCTGCCATGACAACCTCGAAAATAACTTGAACTCTGTCTGACTTAAAAGGAGGTTCCGTGGGTTGGTCTGGCTGTTTCGGTATCTAACCGCGGATGTTTTGAGATCTCCAGTGTTACACACTGAGCTTCCACCGATCTCATAAACAATAGAAAAATGGGTGTGAAAAAAGCTGTGTGAAAACGTGTGTTCTATTTGCAAGCTACTATAATTGATTCACAATGAATTCAGTCTATGTCGTTAATCTGTTTTACTCGGAAGAACAACGATCGTCTGGTTTTAACAATACCGTTGCATACGCCCATTCAAAGTCATAAATGACTTCTCGTTTTCTTTCCCAGTGAATCTTCTTAATTACTCCTGAATGCTCAACAAAAAGTTAGGAAAAGCGAGGGTTTGGGCAAAGAATTCTTGAGCCGTGCTTCTCTCAGGAAAAATTAAACCCCTTTTTGATTTCCATTAGCTGGTAGATACCTCTGAGAAGCAATGTAGTTTGTGGCAGTCTTCCACATAGAAGCGAGTATTCTATTACGGAACTTTGTTGAACTGAATGTTTAAGCCTGATAATGTATGCATTACCGATCTCGGCAACGCATGGGAACTCAGCTTTCATCGGCATTACGATAGGTTCATTTGTTTCCCTTACAAAACTATATATTTTTCAAGATTGTGTTTGGTGGTTTTTATAATTTTTGTATTTTTATAATTAGTTACTATTGGCTTGGTTATTGATTATTTTATATTGGTTGGATTGCAAAAAACCCACCCGTTCACACTTATTCTAATGACAAGTGCTGCTTGTTAAGGCTTACCGACCTGGCCAACATTGTCCTGTCCAACATTTCGTTGGCCAGCCAACATTAAACAAACTTTTTCTATTCCTCCCCTTCTGTTTAGAACGCTTCCTCCTAATGTACGTTTAAGCATCTTCAGAACATGTTTTTCAATGAATGTGCTATCCCATTTCACTGTTACCATTTCTGGACAAACACCAGTGTATAAGAAGCAAGTGACTTACCGACGAATGAGCAGGTAGGGAAACCACTGAACGGGCTTCTCGGTTATGGCATCCAACACCTCCAGTCTCTCTTCAGTTAACCGTAAATAGCATTCTGGCTGGTTCAAGTGCAACTTTATCCAATCTCCCGCCTCTTCCAACAGGGCCGGTATTTTGTCTTCTGTAGTGATGCAGTAAAAGGAGGATTACCGTACCCAAAATAAACCTCAATGCAAAAAAACTGGTACAAAGAAAACGGAGAACCATATGTCATCACATTCGCTTGTCCAAGTCAAACTTTCACGTAAATGGCCAGAGAACTAGTAGATTTCTGAGAAAACCATAACGGCTGCTAGTATCTCATGAATTAAAAACTTATTATAAACCCTCCATCCACTGAAGATGGTCTAGATACAGCTTCACCCGGCCTCTGAAAACGCTAAAAATTATCCGAGGCGATTAAGTCGATGTGAAAATCGACAAAACAAGAATAGCTTCATGTCAAAAAGGGGTTATCAAGAATGAGGGTACACAGAACGTTACGCTAGCCTATGAATTTTATACTCAGAATGTGTGAGCTAACAGTCATATTGATCAAGCACCACTTATCACGGCTACTGTTGACTGTGTCACGTGACATCGAGTGGCGGATGATTCCCACATCATCAGATCACATTAAATATAGATGTCTTGATTGATCCTTGAGAGCGGATCCATCCGATTCCGTGAAAATCACTTTGGAAATAACCAAAGTTCAGAGTCATTTGCTTTGCTTCCACTGTGGGAACTTTGACAAACGACTTTGTTGTATAGAATAAATGTGGTCCAGTTCTTTGAATAAATGGTAGGAGTATCTAACTTCAACTCTTCAAAAACTCCATTGTTACATTCTTCCAATAATTGAACCCCTTTTGAACCTGTTCCTCCAGGAAATATTCATCGGTGGAGTCCACTGGATCGATTGACATGAGTACTACTTCGGAAACATAGGTTGGGTACAATGAAGGGTACACAACTCAGTATACGATTCGCTTGAGTGATCAGCGGAGTCTATGATTGCCACGTCAAACTGATGGTAGTGGTAGACTTCTGAACACCACACCACCTGTCTGTGTAGGAATCCATGTTGCGAGTTAGGGCCTGGAGCTGAACTACCAGTCCATTCACAAAAGTAATAGATAAGTCTACGTTACGGCAGCAAATCCGACTATGCTTTCAGGCTGGTTTGTGCCAACCGCAATAGTGATTGCTTTAAACCATTCTGTGTAAACAAGTGAAGTTACTCATCTAGAATAACCTTGGCGAATGCCTTGTTTGGAGTACGCCACAGAAATTGAGGTATATGGGAAACCTGAATAAGTGATGGACAAGCGATTTGTAGACTTTTAGTTACTGAAGGTTAGTTGGGATGACATAATACCTTTTACAAGTCCAAACCAAAAGGCAAGGGGGGGGGGGAAACCGTTGAGGTCGTTCAAAAATACCTTCAGATAATACATTCCGATTTTTCATTCTGCAGAAACTTTTGTTCCTGACCACAGTACTATCGATCAAACAAAAAACCCTCCGCCACTTTTGAATGCTGATTCTTATACTTTTCCGTTGCATAAATCCAATCAAAAAACTATGATGGACTCAGACACGATGATTGTGGAAGCCATTTATTGGAAATGGTAATGTTTGTCCGTGCGTGGTGGTCTGTTACCCTCATGTTACTTACTGAAACCTCCAGTGGCTAGAAATACACACTGAGTAAGTTTCATCTCTTTGTAATACACTACTCATAAGGTTGCTGAAAAATCCTCGACAGCCCACAACCGGTTTCGCCCTTCTTGGGTCTCATTAGGTAGGCGCAGTCCCCGGGTTAACGTCAATCTTATGCTCTACTTGAAATCAAATTGCACGAAACTAGCAAATATACACTCTCTCGAAAAACCAAATTAGCTTGCAAATGAGTGTATATTCGCTAAGTTTCATCTCTCTTTCAGACCTTCTTTGGTATATGCCCTTAAACAGCAAATTCAACGGTAGTTGGAAATTTATCCCATGACTATTCTTTTTTTTACCTACAACTTCAGGGCCGTAAAATAGTAAGAGACATGATTTTCGTTGCTTGTTCACAGTACGATCAGTCGCCTTCCTCTCCCATGTATACTTGTCCTGTGGTCACATCCCACCATGAATAGCTCTTTCACAACAATGAAAAGTTACAAACAACATGGAAACGAAGTCGATAAGGTGCAAAAGTCGAGCGTCCGAAATTTCTGGACTCGCCTGAGAAAACGACGTGAAGTGTCCGGGTGGGATCAGATTAGCGTGGGAGATGATTCATCGTTAGGCTTTGATGAAAATGGCTTAGTTGCTTTTTAAAAATGTTTGTCAGACACTGGCTGACTTAATGCTTAACGAAGTTTTCATTTTGACATTAAAATGACCAGCTAGCGAGTTACGATCCGAGTTGGTCAATGAAGAGGGAGGACGAAACGATGAGGTCTTCTGAAGCCAGTAGATTTAATCAGTGCTAAATGTCGCTTAACGAATCCTGTTGATTAGTATGAGTGACCAAGCCCAAAAGCCGATGAATGAAGAGCGAACGGTTAACGTCATTTTGGGTCATATCTGGAATTAAGGTCTTCCACTTCAGAAAAATTCAGTTGCTTTTTAGTTTCACGTGTCATTTACACACTCTGCTGGTCCTTAGGGCTTAGCGAAATGGAAAGTTACGAATTCCTGTTGGTTTAGGTTCAAACCAACTATGCTGATGAGTTCTGCGCACGCCATGAGACTGCAAATTGGCAGCTTAGAGGGGATGAGCGTGCGTGCAACTTGCTGTCTTTAGAAGGAAGTGTATTTGAAAGAGATTCGTCCATCAAAATCGGTGAATCTTGGTGACCCAGGAACCGAGTGAACTTAAGTCAGTTCCAGTTCCCAACAACCTGACACGTTGCCCTACTCACCCACTGAGACAGTTCCCCGTCTAGTCAAGTTGACTTGAGTGATGTGAAATGCCTTGTGGTTAAGCTGAAAAGTCATACAGGCAGGAGCATCAGACGTTCCATTCAGTGACAAAATTGCTGAGGGCAACATAAATGGACACTTTGGACTTTTGTGTAACTGAACATGATTCGTTTCGTTCAGTGACCAGTTGTTTCGCTCAAATATTTAGGTTGACATGTTGAGCAATATGGTTCGCTCAAACTATTCTAAGACCCTTACCCGGTACGATGGACCGGGTCGAACTGACCGCCAACGGTAATAAGACAACTCGCCTTCGTGAACGAATGTGCAGAAAAGTGGCAGCCTCTACGACACAGCTTGTGTCGGTTCACAGACAGGTAGTAGAGTGTACAGGACCTCGAATTCCTATTGGCTGGGCGGGACAAACATCAATCCCTCGGGTAACCGAACAGTAGTATGCTTACGCAGCCACTATGTCTGTATTCATTGCATGAAAAAGGAACATCCTTGGAGATCCATGAGCTATATCTTGCAATCACGTTTGGAACTGGATGTGCACAGTAGGCACGTTATAAAATTCGAGGCATATAAAAAAATAATCCCATCATAGAGGAGCCAAACTTCAAAATGAGAACGATTGAGTTGCATGAAAGTGAAGACCAAACAGAATAGCTATTATCTATGTACCAAAGCTAGTGCGGTTTACACTGCTTCGAACTGGACTGTGGGATACCCAGTCTGAGCGGATCTCAGCTTCTTGCATGTATTGTTTAACAACACTAGAAAGCCATTTTAGGAAGACGGAGCTCGATGCTCGGCAACGTCCATCCAGTGACTGGATGGACGTAAGCAGCTAAAATTCAGTAATGATCCGTTTTTAGCTCCCATGGCCTCGCGTGATCACTGGAAAAGAAGCACATTCTTCAAGCTGGACCAAAGAGGTTAAATCAAGATTCAAACTAGTTATTCGACACATTTCCACTAGAATCGTTGCCATGTTGTAGTTCCGTATAGAAAGGTCCATGTGGAAGTGCCTGGTAATCGGAATGTCCGAATTTAATTAAGAAATCGGAATCATGTCGCTAAAGTGCTTGAGTGAAACACGTATAGCCTCGACGGCCGATGCTGTCCCTCGAGGTCTTTTAGGAGAGATTCCCTATACTTTCGTACAAGAGTCCACGGTTCTAAATCAATAGTTCCCTTGGTTGTTTCTCCTCTTAAATGGAAGCAAGCCTACGTGTCTAGAGCATAAATAAACTATTGAAACACAGGCTGAATGCTCCAAAATTTATTTAATGTAAGCGATCGACATTCAGAAAGATCACGAATCGTCACCGTCCACCATGCATACCCTGGTGCCCGTTTCAAATGTTCACCGCCGTGCGTTTGCTAGCTCACGGCTTGCAGCTAAGTAACTGTAAGTATAAGGTCCACAATGTCGGTGAACATCAAAACCAGACTCTTAAACAATCCCCTTTTATTCGAGAACACATACAGGATAATATGCTTGTAAATCCAGTGGTTGCATGTTTCTTATTCGCCCTATAGAGAAGGACTTTGAGACATGAAACTTTCGGTCCTTTCGTCTCAGTTTATCTCCAGATATGCTACCTCTGAGAATCATTTTTTAAAATTGATCACCAAATATTGGATGATCCGTTGAGTTCACAGTTTCCGTGTGCGCAACGGTAGAGAAAAACAAGCGCTCGCGCAATTTCCCATACACAGGCACACTGTCATTTTGATCCACTGAAATCCAATCCGGTGAGAGGCGACGAACAACGAATTATCTATAAATTGTGAGCAGAAGGATGCGAACTGCCACTGCGAGCCAGTAAATTACTTATGGTACGACCTCATCATCCCCATCTCTGCAAACCAATTGTAGCTGAAACCTCCTGGTTCACCCACTCGTAGTGGTTTTGTGAACATCGAGGAACCGTTTCGCATTTTGAAAGTATGCTAACACTAACTTCTCACGAGAACTAAAGTGGCGAGGTTCTATCCCCAGATGCTAAACCGCACATGTGTGATCAAAGTCCATCATGGTAAAGCCACTGATGGTTGAAGTGAATGCGAGTAATTTGACGGTATCTTACACAAACTTATAACCAAAAAAGAGGCGGAAAATACAGGTGATGATACAGAGTGTGGTCATAAAATGCCTAGGTTTTTGTAACCATCTAGTGCTTTAAAAAGTTGTCACATGATAAATTATCGAAA